AACGTAGTATAACCAGTCATGGTACTAGTACTATCACTACTATACCACAATACTACGAAGTAATAACAATGCGATGAATAGTAATAGTATTATATAGTAATAATGAAAGTAAGAAAAAGTACTAAGAATGTTGATATATTCTTAGTATTATTTTGCATTATACTATAGTAATCGTATTAGGAGTATGAGCTATAATCATAGTAGGCAAAACAAGACTAAGAATACCAATATGACACTATACTATAGCCTACCAAACCCTACTTTTTTGTAGGTTCTTATTATAAACCTTAATACGGAATTTATAGGGGCCCTACAAAAAGGAGCTTTTGGTAGCTTAAGGTATACTATACCATGAACCTGGGATCTCCAGGAGAGCGTTAAGCTGGTGTCGGAGACGGCAGAGTGAGGAACTCGTGGGGTTTGAGCGGATTTGGGGTTCGGGGTTTAGGGGTTTTAGGGAGTTTAGGAAGTTTAGGGTGCATGGCTCAAGGCTTGAGAGTTTTGTGGTTTGGGGTCAAACTTTACACAGATAAGCCAAGCCATACTGAGCCCCAGTGTTTGCAAAGAAATGTTCGGTGGATGTTGGCTGCGCTTGTGCTCTGCTGCGTTCAGGACAAGGTGAACTCTGGCTTTGTAACACGGATCCAGCATGAATCCTAAGACAGTTCAACATGGATCAAGGACGATGGCTGTCACGATACCCTCGAGGTTTCTGTGAGGACATGAGGCTAGCACAGGCTGCGGTTGCTGCAGGAAGGGCTTCCGTAGTTTACAGCTTCAGTGAGGGTTTTGGGTCATAGGTATAAGGGGCTCTAGGGCGCAAGGCTAAGGCGAGTCAACCCTATAAACCTAAAGTCATAAACCCAAATCCCAGACCGCGAACCCCGAAACCCAGCCCAAAGTAAAGAAGACAGAAAACACTCGGAGTTAAGGTGTTAGATGGGATAGCGGCCTGAAGGAGAGATAGTCTGGGACATCCCAGCTTCATGGGCTTTTCTTTTGCACAAACTTCCGCGTCATCATGGCCCAGGTGGTTCCTCGACTTCGAACTTGACGCCAAAGAGCCAGGACTGGATTGATTAATATATGAGCTTCAAGAATTACGTCTACTATTCTGGGGGATTCCTTATTATGCCTATAATAGTAGTATAACATACCCCAAAACCCTACTCTCATTATTATCAAGATTAAGGCCCCGGCATCAGTCCCCGGAGCTGCCTGAAGCCTGCGGCCCTAAAGCCCTAAACCCCTAAACTACCCCGAATCCGCAAGACCCTAGGACCTTGAACCGTCTACCCTCAAGTGCGCCTTTAAACTTGTCTAAAACCCTGATGTCGCAAGATGATACACCCCCGAGCCTCCAAAATCAGCTCTAAAGCCCAGAATACCCTAGATCCTAAGCCCTAAACTATATAAACCCGTAAACCCTAGTGTAAACCCGAAAGCGGATCCTAGAGCCCGAACTTTAAATGCCGATTGCCGCGAGGAGTGGCCACAGCCTTCTTTCTGGTCCGGCAGCCCGGGAGCGGGTTGAAAGCAGAAAACTACAGGGGCCTAAATATGTACCGGCGTCCTTATTGTAGGAGAGGGGGGGTGGGAGGGGGGGGGGGGGGAGGCCTTGTAGTAGGATGTAATGTAGGGGCCTAAAGAGATACCGATACTGTTGCGGGGTTCCTTCTTAATATTCATGGTATAATATACAACCAAACCCTATGCAAGTAATCAAGGCCCTTGTATTTCGGCAATATAAAGCTCATATCGTTACATTATAGTGCAACACCGCATAGTAGACTGTAGTACAGTATGACATCGTACATATAGTTTAATTAATAGTGTGATGTAATGTAATATAGCAGGATGTCATAGAACATGACCAATAGAATACATCATGCCCGCGCACAAGACGTACTCGTAAAATGGCTTCTTAGCCGGCGGCTCAAAAGTAGCAAAGCCTGAGCTACTTTGTTTACTTTGCACTCAGAAGCTGACTGGTGGCCAGTTGCTGGAGAAGTAGATGTGTCAGTTTCAAGTCGAGCCACAGCAGCTATGTGTTATCATGTGTTCACTGTATCATGACGCAGAAATGTGGAAGCTTCCAGATTTCAGCATTGCGTTGAGAGCATCTCGTGTGTTTGCTGACTAGAGACGAAGGCGAAGCCCAAGAAGGACTTGTGGGTTGGATCTCCTTATGTGGAGGTTCATGGGTAGTTATAAGTAGGGTTGCAAGTAGGATAAGTATACTTATAACCCATATTAGGGCACTTATAACCCTACTTATAACTACCTTTGAACCTCCAAGTAGAGTGCAGGCGGACACGGCCTTGGGTTTACGGTTGAGGGAGGCGGAGTTTGCGACTCGTGGAAGGGCTAATCGTGGCCATGGCCTTGGCTTGATGAAACGGGCTTGATGAAGTCGTGACCACCAGTGCCAGTGAGTGGCTCGACACACCTTTGCAAATGGGGTTCTTGGTTGCAGAAGCAGGCTGCTCGTAGATGGTGCAAGACAAACAATGACAACACATTCACAATATCAGATCTGACTCAATGGCTCTGAGAGCTGCTGATGACAAGTATCAGTAGACCCTTGGCGTCAGCAGTCACAGCAGCTAGTTCCATCAGAAGTAGGCGCTATTTCATCAATAGTACTCAGAATCAATGGCTTCCTTGTCTTGAGGCGGTCGGCGGCTTGGAGGTCGCTGTCCCAGTTCTTTCCTGCCGCCAGGACTATCGTGACTAGGTGTACTGCAGAGAATGACGATAACCAGCCCATATGTGCACAGTCCATGTTTCTGCATCAGCTCTGTCAATTTTACCAAGCAGGCTGGTGCGAACTTGACTCTATCGGCGCCCTCCAGTGCTCGCAGTCCCTGCCCCAGACTACTTGTCGGTCTGGACTAGAATATAGGGGCTTACATGATTACCAACACTATTTTGGTGGTTCCTTATCAGATTTGATTATAGTATAACGGGTCCCAAAACCCTATTCTAATCATTAAGGCCCCTATATTAGCGCACGGAACGAAGTACTTCCAAACCCTCGGCATTGAACCTTCACAGGCAATTGCAAAAAGAGCGACATAGGATACCTGGTCCTGTTGCTTTAGGAGGCTCGTCTCTAGTTTCCAAAAGCCTGTGACAAACTTCGACTCCGATCATACTTGCAATCGCCAGCGTGTCGTGCAATCAGGGCTGTCGAGCTCAAGCTGCGCTGTTGGTTTGCGTTTGGGTTCTTGGGGTTCAGGGTTTAGGGTTTGGCTCGGGTTTGGAGAAGAGGGCTTCCGATCAGGGGGACAGCAGGGTAAATAGCTGGATTCTGGCCCGATGGGTCTAAAACTTCCTCACAGATGCCGAGTCCAAAGCTAACAAAAACAAAGCTGCTAGATATGTATTACTGTATAAGTCTCCAGACCCCAAACGCCAAGCCAAACCCTCCACCCTAACGAAGAAGAACACAAAACAGCCGCCATCGTCGCATCTCCTACTGCCTTAGGCTCGTCAGAGGCGCCATTCCAGGCAAGATTATCCGAGGGGCTTTAGTCGTTAGACTAGGGTCCCTTTACAGGGTTCCAATAAGGGTTCGTATAATGGTATAGAATAGGGGCCTCACAATAGGGCTTTAGGAGTACGTATACACATAATAAGGAACCCCAAAAAAGCGTTTGTAATTACTACAATAGTGCAGAGTGTCGCGATCTGGGCATGGTCTGGGGTTAAGGGTTCAGCTGGCTAGTTTTGACCATCACGTACGGCGGTGGCCCTTACTGCAAGATTTACGTAAATCAGGTAGACTTCGCCGAAATACAACGGTCGGCATCGCTGGGTGTCGTTGCTTCCGTGTCGTCGGCTGTGTTAAGATTTCAGAACATCTGGAGCTTTCAGGACTTCTGATCAGACGGAGCCCTTAGTCCTTGAACCATTGCTATGTTTCGAAGTTTGTACTTCACGGCGTGGCGCAGAGTTTGGGCCTAGAAGATGTTCATGCAAGAACTTCCATCATTTGTTCCGCAGAATGTTGGCCAGCACCGACGCGCAAGTCTGAAGAGCCGTTTCTTTTTTTTTCCCGGTTTGCTGCGTGACCGTGGGAATGCCGCAAAGACCGTAAGCCGCAGACCATGCCCTCCACCATATGCCTGAGCCCTAGACCCGAAAGCTTTCCGGCACGAGACCTTAAAATATGGAAGCATGAACAAATACCGGCACCATTCCTTTAGAACTGCGCGCAGGCTGCCCTCAAACAGCCGATGCTTGAGACCAAGACCAATGCTAGTGCCAGTTTTCACAGCAGGAACAGGGTCGCAGGTTGAAGGCTCAGGGTTTAAGGGTTTACTGGCTTAGGATCACGGACCCAGAGAGCCCAACACCCCTTAATGAAGGAATATGGCTTAAATTACATAGGGCTTCATATTATGATTTGAGCTATATTCCTCCATGAACGGCGTATTGGGCTCTTTGGGGTGTAGGTTGTTGGGGGCTGTCGGGCTGTCTCACATAGGCATGTAGACGGAGCTCGGTCAGTATGACTTGCCTTCCCCTAAGATTCTAAGGCTCCATGTGCCCAGAAAAGTATATACTTCGGCTGAAAAGTTCCTATGCAGGAACCCCTTTAAGTAGCCCTAAGTACATACAATATGGGTACGTGGAGCCTTAGGGTTCAGGTGGTAGGAAAGGCAGAGGATTCGCAGTGCCACCGTGCCGAACCCGAAGCTTTCGACTCGACTCATCAGAGCTGCATCTTACAGTAACCCTTATAGTACCCTTATAGTAACCCTTATAAGTACCCGTATAGAGCAAGCAGGGCTTCTGTTTGGGTTTGGTGGAAAGGGCATACCCTAACCCCGAAGCATCACCGACGGCCAGGCACCGCCGGATGCATGATAGCTGACAGCAACCCGGAAGTGCTCAAAACCCTTAGCCCTCGTTGTTGATGTTGGACCAAGTACCGGAAGCATGGTTTTCATGAGCTACTGATGGCCAGGTGCATGGGCCAACATACTGATGAAATGGGGTTGAGACAGGGGGTTGGACTGAACGCACCCAGGCGACTGCACCTCTACACTGGTGGTGACATACGCAGCCAGTTGTCGGACAACTTCGATGTCAAGGCACGACTCGAAGACTCTTTCGAGCCGTTCTGCTAGAAGCTCAGCATTTTGCCGAGCAGCGGCGAACACAGACCTGCTCTTCTGGCGCAGGAAGACAAGTTTCATGTGATGCTCGATCTCCGCGCCGAGCAGGGCGATCCAAAAGTCTGCAGCTCAGCGGGGCTCCAGATCGACATGCACAGGCTGATGGATTGGAGCTCCTGGCCGTTGAGATGTGTGCATATGCACACCAACATCGATAGCTGCGACAAAGCGAGATAGACAGACATGTAGAGAGATAGAGAGATAGAGATGTAGAGATGTAGAGAGGCAGACAGACAGGTGCGTAGGTGGATAGGATTGGATAGGTAGCTAGCTAGCTAGACAGATAGAGCGCGAAAGAGGGGCACATGGAAGTGCTGGTCTAACCCTCCTTTGCCGTTTTACTCAGTGGAAACATATATAGCCTATGCTTTGGTTCTTGCATTCATTCATTCGTTCTTAACGTGTGAGTTCAAGAAAGCCGACTCAGAGCCCATTACTGCGACCAAGTCACCTTGCCTGTGCAACACTGCCTCTCCAATCCGGATGGTACGGGTGCAAAAGCGACACAGCCGACTCAAGTCACCCAGAATGCAGAAAGAAGCCGAGCAAACGAGGCATGGCATGGCATTGCAGTACATGGCGTGGCATTACATCACATTACGTTACATATATTACATACATCTCTGCATCTATATACTACACCCCTCATCCCTGAAGTTCCTGCACAGGCTGTTGTGGCGCAGCGGAGTTGCTTACAGCTTGCATTCGATGACGCTGGTCATGGGCAGGCAGACACGACAGAGACTGATCTGCGTTTCCTTTTGTCAGACTTTGCGATGCGTTGCAGCTGCCACAGCGTCTCAGGTTTCGGTGTCTGTTGTGGTCTCAAACTCTCTCGGCAGGTTCATGTGCACACGCAGCTGGTGGAGTGCGCGTCGCCTGGTCAAAACTAGGAGGTTGGTTAAACAAACGCGTTGGAGCAGACGCGTAGACGACTCTTCATAGCTTTAGCCGTCAGAGGCAGTGTGCTTGACATTTTCATCTTCGGACCCGCCCGAAGCTGCACTAGCAGGTCATTATTTTCGAGTCCCTTGACCGCCTCGTGGAACAGCCCTGGCAGGTATTCTGTGAGTTTAGAGCTGGCTAGCACTCGGACTCAATGCAGCCCCTTCCAAGAATCAATATTAGGCTGTGTTTGAGTCTCGAGCATACGGCCATTTAGTTGCCATTTAGTTTGTAGTGCCAGCATCAGGCGCACAAGCACTTCTTATCCAAGCAGGGATAGGGAGGGGGGGGCGTGATGTATCACAATGTTGTCTCGTCGCGGTGTTGATGTCGCTGCTCCTTTGCTTCATGTACCATGTTACTACGACTATGCCAGACTGTCATCGTGTAACGTGTTGGTGTGGTTGTTCTTGTTGTTGCCGCTGCTGCCGGGAGCCCCGGGGGATGTGGTTGTCGTGGCTAAGGGTGGCCTTCCTGTTATCGTTGCTGTTGTTGTTTCTGCAATGACTGTTTCTTCTCACTTTTCCAGAACGCACTTGTCACAGACTAGATGCATGATAGTTGTACATGAACCCCAGTATTATTCACGACCACTTGTTCATGCTCGATTCTGAATTAGCTTGCTCTTGCTGCGATTGCTTCTACAGAGTTAGTAGTGCGAGTTGTCTTGACGACCGTGCATTCTGTGAGCTTTGGTCTCGTAGTTTGCGTAGGCGAAGCTGTAAACTACACTGGAAGGGGTCCAGGAAATTCATCGGGATTTTGAAGCTTGCATGCAGCGACGGGTGCACTGGGGATCCGGGTGGACGACAGAAAGTGAAGTGCCTAGGGGGTCTGTGAGTCTGACCCGTGTTACGGCAGACCAGACTAAGGAATGTCGTGCGTGCGCTGACACCGCTCTACGGCACTATGCCGAATCCCAGGCCGGCCGAGCGCTCTTTAGCGTCCAAGCGACGGTGAGGTTCAGTAGTTAACTTGTAGATTGTAGCAGAAATTTAAGTCTGTAAGGATTGGTGAGCCCCATGTTACATTGGAAGTGAAGATGTTCGCTTCAGGTGCAGACGAAGAATCCCCAAATCGTTGACTGGTTCCGACGTGCAACATGTTAGGGGCCTAGTCTTGTTCACCTTGTCGAACTCATTGTAAGAAGCCTCCCTGCGTCCCGTCGTGTGCGTTCTCATGATCTGACGTAGAGCTTATTTGCGGTGCACGAACTGGGCTGAAAACACAATGTCCTGTAGCTTCCGTGAGTCATTCTTGTCGTTTCTCCGAAAAAGAAGCTTGATGCAGACTCATGCCAGTACCTGCTCGCCGTCGCATTGCCTTACGTGCTTGTCGAAACACGTCAGAACAAGCCTCACGAATCTTCGGCGCATGTACACCCTATAAACCGAAACCGGATTTCACAGCCAGCTTTTGCGCCTTCGACAAGCCAGGAAGTTTGGCGGCTCCTTCGAGGGTGGCGAATGTGTAATTTGCCTGGAGAAGCCCAAGGAGGCGAAAAAGGGGGGGAACCGAAGGGTCATACTTGGAGGCTCATGGCTAGCTATATGTAGGGTTCTAAGTAGGAGAACTATAGTTATAACCAATATTTGGGGAGGTATAACCCCACTTATAACTGCCCATGAACCTCCAAGTAGGATTTGGGGCCATTTGGGGTTCAAGGTTTGGGCACTGGGCAGTACAACTCTAAACCCGCAGCCCCTCAAAGCATTTGAAGACCTCAGCCTTAAGGCGAGAGGATATTGATGCCAATCTTTCAGGATTTGAAGGAGTTCAGGGGCTTCCGTGTGCGGCGAGGTTGGGTAGATGCTTCGCTTGTGAGCAAGTCTTGCAAGTTCTGAGGGGGCGAGGAAAGCTGGCTGTGTCGTTCAAAGTAGTTTACTTGCTTCAGATGCTCACACTTTCAGCTCGAAATTGAAAATGGGTTGAATCTAGTTGATGGGGGAGGGTGGGTGGGGACGTTGCCAGGAAAACCTGCAAGACCCGCCCATTCCAGGTAGACTGTAAGGGTCCTTGAATGACGGTCCACTCAGAAGCCTTCCATCAGCTAACGCCCGAGGTCGCCATCCTCCACTGTAGGCACGTCTGCCTGTGCTCCAGCTGTGCGCAGATCACCTCTTCCACATGGCGGGGACCTCTGCATCAACTCCGCAGGGCTAGAGGGCCGAAGGAAGTTCGCCGAGTTCGCTGTGCTGGTTTTTGGCTTCGGTTTGGGGGTTTGGTCGTAAGTTCGTCAGGAATTTAGAGGTATGTCGCTGAGATTTGAGGAACAAGGCGGGACCGCCCGTGACCGAAGTCGTGCTCCCTGGTCTGTTGATGCGCACAATTTACATGGACATGAGCTGGTCCTACAGATGAAGTGTTGTTACAGCTGCACTCATGAAGTACGTACGCCACTGCATTCATCAGGAAGCACAGGATGCCCTGGCATGGCTGATGTCACATAGCAATGCCAACCCAAGCAGAGGGTAGTAGTTTGGCAGTGGGACCGAAGCTGGGTAACTTGAGACAGCTTTACAAATCTTGCCGCGACAGAAGTAGCAGCAACAACATAGAACCACTATCCATCGGTGGCGTGACGAAATCTATTGTGAACGTCTTCCAAAAGATGCTGTTTGTTTGGCGCTTTCAGTTTTCTAATGGATCCACCATGATCTTCTCGGAACCAAGCACCACGGTTGATGATATAAATCCTGCATGACCCATAACAAGGAATATACCATAATTCCCATAGTGGTCATGCAGGATTTATATCATCAACCGCAGTACTTAGCTTCCTGCTAGCTAGAGGGACTGAGCACAGGCGAAGCCACTTGGAAGATCGGGGTACGTCGTGAGGAGGGCTATGCATGGGTCCAGAATGCCTTCTACTTTGGATCGGGGCGTATTAGAGGGGCCTTAATTATTTGAATAGGGTTTCGGGGCCCATTATACTGTAATTATAGTAAGGAACCCCCAAAATAGTATAATGAAGTCTTTAACCAGGGCATGAAGTCCCCGATGTTCCCAGATGGAGGAGGTAATCCTTTCGCAGCGCTTCGCTACAGGTGGCGACTGGCGACTAAGTCCACTGCACACTCCACGACCTAACCCTAAACCCTAAACCGAGCGGCGCTTTATACAACAGCCATAAAGGTCCCCCAGTCGGCGTCGCTGACTCAACTTGGTCCTCTCCCGCCAGGTCGTTCCAGTGTCCCGTTTGCCGGGGGAGAGTGGCTGGCATGGTCCGGGACCAGGGAGGCTTTTTGGGTTCGAGAAGGGTTAATAGGGGTTGAGGATTTCGGGTTTTCAGGTTTCGGGTTTAGGACTCTTGATACATTGTTAAGCTGAAGGAGTTCTTCGGGTGGATTTGAGGGACGGGGCGTGCTGCGGTTTTCAATCTTTCAGTCATTTGGCACAAGCCCCGGTGGCAAAGATTTGCAAGGGCATGGCTGCAGAATTTCCGGGTGGCCTCTGAAGGCGGCTTAGGAGAGCTCAGGTGTATGTTTCTGTGGGTCCCTATGCGGTCGAAGTTTCGGTGGTCCCTGAATCCGGAGCCTGACTCCCGCCATCCCAACTCTTGCTCGAAGCTGAACGTGTTCAAAACCCGAAACCTAAAACCCCTAAAAAAACCTGAAACTCCCGATCCGACAATCCTAAGCCACAGCAATCTCTGCATGTTGTGTTGGCCTGAACTCATTGCTGCGTGTTTCTACCCTCATCCACCCGATGCACTTCTACCCTTTACACAGAAAACCAAGAAGCTCCAAAACTCAGCTCGCTAAACCCTAAACCCCTAAACCATAAACCCTAAACCCCCAAACCCTAAACCCGAAGCCCAACACTCCTAAACCCCTAAACCCCAAACCCTAGCTCAGTCACCTGGGAGCTCCAGGGGTCTTTCAGGATTGGGAACTTCTTAGGGGTCGCTTATTTTGGGGTCCGTATAGTAAGGATCCTACTATTGAGGTCACTATATAAGGGTCCCTATTTTCGGAAACTCCCTATGGTGATGTTCATGCGCCCCGAGTGCAACTAGGGTTCTCCCGAATGGGCATTAGGGCAGCTACCAGCAGACGTACAAGAACCGTCCAAGAAAGAAACATTCCTAAGTCTTGAACCTTAAATAAACCCTAAGCCCTAAATCTTAAACCCTAAACCCTCAAGAAAGAAATAAATAGAAATTGTTTGTCATTGCTTGCATTGAACCCCCTAAACCATCAATTTCAAGCCCAACCCAGCCCAAAACCAAGGTCGCAGCCCCAGCCCCAGCCCCAGCCCACCCCAGCCCCAGCGAGCCCGCCCCAGAGTCCCAGACCCAGCACAGCCCAGCCCAAGCCCAAGCCCAAATTCAAAATGTGGTTCCGAAAAAGAAACCTGCAGAAAACTTTCGCTCAAAACTTATTGGCACGCAAACCCTTAACAATTTCTCAATTTCAAGCCCAACCCAGCCCAAAAACAGGGTCGCAGCGCCAGCCCAGGTTCAGTGCAGCTCCAGCAGGCCCAGCCCCTAGCCCAGCCCCGAGGCCCCCCCCGTCAACCAAATTCAAAATGTGGTTTCAAAAGAGGAAACCTGCTCAAAACGTTTCGCTCAAAAGTTTCGCTCAAAACGTTTTTGGCACCCAAACCCTTAGCAGCTTCTATAGATTAGGCGCTCAATCTTAAACCCTAAACCCTGAATTAGGCCCTAAATCTTAAACCCTAAACCAGAATCCGAGGTTGGCATGTCGCAAGCGGAGGTGGAAGCTGAGGATGCGCAGGTGCGGCCTTTCCGGCAATAAACCGAATACTACTGTTGATGATATAAATCTTGCATTACCCATTAGTTATAAGGAATATACCACAATTCCCATAGTTTAGGGTCCTTGGTCATGCAGGATCTATATCATCAACCGTACGAGAGGCCAGTGGGCCAGCACCCCTTAGTAAGGTAGGGCACGCACCCTAAACATCTTTACGCCATGTCATCACGGTTTCCCATCCCGTTAAGAGTTACATTCCCAGCTGAGATGTCAGCATTGGGGGCCCTGCGTATATGGGAGTTTCCGAAAAGAGGGGACCTAAATATAGAACCCTAAATAGTAGAATCCTTATAATAGGGACCCCAAAATAAGGCACCCTTAATTTTCAGAAACTCCCGTATACTCCCCAGTGCGCTAAACCACACAGTTTCAGGCCTCGGTTTCCGGCTTCCGGAGTTTAGTTTGGGGCTGCAAGGCTGGCAGGCACAACGTTCCGTGTAATGGCTTCATGCTGCGAGAGCTATGTAGAGGTGTCCTAGCATTGGATTCAGTCCCAGGGTTCCGAGTAGAATCTCGGGCAGAGAACCTGTCCAGACGCTCACATCAGACTCATGTGCTAGGTGCGTGTTGGCCCAGCATGGCCCAGCTACGCGCAGGGGTGTGTTTGTGTGTGGTAAATGCATGTATCCATGCATGCATGTATGTTCGTTTGTTTGTATATACTCATAGAAAAATATTTAGGTGTACACAAATGCATGTGTACTGTATACTTACATACACACACACACACACCTACATATATATATATATATATATGGATACATGCTTGTATCTTAAATACATGTGTTTGCGCATACATATACTGTATGCGCTGCACATGCAAGTCTGGGCGTCTGGATGTATGAACCTGCGAACATCAAGGTAATGTGTTTGTATACCCGTATATAAAGATATCTAGCGACATGAGTCTCTCTCCCTGTCTTTGTATATATATATATATATGCATATGTGTATATGTATGTAGGTGTATATGTACGCGCATACGTATTCGGATGTGTACACGTATATATTAAGCACACATTTTGACAGACTATTTCAGTATAACAGGTGTATATGGATATATACATATACACGAGTGACACAGATGTTGTGTTACGGTCTGTACTTCAGACATTGGATTCTCATATTCAGGTTGGTATGGGGGTATGTGTGAACCTATGTATGTATGGACGGATGGATGTATGAATGTATCCATGCTTTTCGCTAGCATTCATGCATGCATGCGTTTGCATGGCTAGACCGAGCCAGGCAGACGGACGAACGGACAGACAGAGAAATGGAGAAATGGCTAGATAGCTAGATGGATAGGAAGATGGATAGACGCTCAAACTGAAACAACAACAACAACAACAACAACAACAACAACAACAACAACAACAACAACAACAACAACAACAACAACAACAACAACAACACAGACACACACAAACACACACACACACACACACACACACACACACATGCTGATGTGGGCAGCGGCTTGCCCTCTTAGGCTGGCTTACCGGATCCTCCACCGACTCACAAAGCCGAGCTTTGAGTCAACGAGGCCTAGCTGCGTTGACGCTTGTAGAGCACAGGCTTTGTAGAACTTCAGGGTTCTTGCACATGTTGGAACTCGGGGATTATGATTAGGGTTTAGGGGTCGGGGCTGAAGACAGGACTTTTGGAGCTTATTGAAGGAACATCTTGTGGCTACGCCCCAAGCCCGAAATCGTGCTGCGCTCTTCTCCGACACGCAGCCAAAGCCCCGAACCGCACCGACCCCCTAGCTTAATCCAAGCCGCACCTCACCCGAAATCGGAGCAGTCTAGTTGTGTTGAAGAGGTGTTGGAGCTCAAAATCCCGGTTCCCGAAATTGCCATAAAGACTGCGTTGAGAGTCGTGCAACTCGTGCAGGGGCCTTTTCGATTTGAATTTGGGTGCTTTTCTAGTCGGGAGATCGTGTGGAAAAATATGATCCTGCTGTAATTGGTAGGACTCCTGCATGGCGCTAAGTTCGCATTGTGCTCAAGCTCCAGTGCAGCTAGGCGTGACGTTTCACGAAGGCGAGGCTTCTCGTGTGAAACTGTCTCGCAGTTCGTGTCGTTTGAACGAACTAGCTACAACTCAGATCAACTCAGATATCCCACACCCGAGAACAACTGAAACACGACGAGCAGCACGTCTTCAACGACTCAGCTGGTCACCACGGGCCGAGTTCTGGGGCGGTCCGTTTTTTCGGGGTCTGGCTTTTCGTCTCACTCTAGAAACCTCCATGCCCAGAGTATATCAGATTGCGTCGTAAAAGAAGATTCGAAAAGATTAGATCATCGACCAGATTTATGGCAGACACTACTCTCGATCGTTTCATTTTATATATAGAAAGGTTGTGTTCGATAATAATAATAATAATGATAACTGTATTTGGAGAACTTGAATGATATGTTTGTTCAGTGAAATTTGAATGTATTTGACAACAATTTCG